TATATCTGTCTGTCTGTCTGTCTGTCTGTCTGTCTGTCTGTCTGTCTGTCTGTCTGTCTGTCTGTCTGTCTGTCTGTCTGTCTGTCTGTCTGTCTGTCTGTCCGTCTGTCCGTCTGTCTGTCTGTCTGTCTATTAACATGCTACTACTGTTGACGTCATCTGGGTGGTCATTTTTGTGAAAGGGTTCAGCACATGGATTAAATCAAGCTATGCAAAAATTTCTACGTTCCCTCATTGGTAATGTCATTTTGTACTAAATTGAATGCTTAACATCAGAAAGAAAGAAAGAAAAAAGAGATATAATTATAAGGAAAAAAGAAAGAATGTAATGATTAGACGTCTCTGACGTAGAAGATATTAGCTTGATTCCAGAGTGGATATGTTATGTTATCGAGTCTCTCAACTTTAAAAAAAAAATATTATGCCTACATCGACATACATTGTAATTTAGATTAGAACTATTTAGAAAACAAGCTTTGACCATGAACATCAGAGTCAACCTAGGGACCGAGAAGGAGAACATCACAGGAGAAAGACCGAGACATTCGAGAAAAAATTCGCAACTGTGGAATCGAACTCGAGTCTATTGCGTATGACAGCTAAGTGCTGAAACTTTACCGCTGCACCACAGACACCAGTTTACTCCATGTACTTTTACTGTATGCTGTGTCTCACTCAGCCAGGGTTGAACCTGACATGCAGGATCAAAGCTGCCGGCCTCCTGCTTTGTCTAAACTGTATTGATTGGGACGTAAAATATGTTACATTTATATTTTTAAAATCATCATAATTTCTATAAACGTCAAGCTAAAGCCAACCTGAAGTAATTGTGAAAAGTCCTCAGCTGAGTCTTAGATTTGAACACTGCACAATGAAAGACAAAAATAGTTAATTCCATTTCATTTTTTAAAGTTTTCCAAAATATTTATGTTTTTTCTTCACAAGGATAGTAGTCTTCTTTTGGATAATAAGTCTATTCTGCTGTACACAAGTTGCAGTGATTGCTTTGTGCTCGGAATGGAGGAAGGGGAGGAAGAGAGAGGAAAAGAGAGAAACAGAAACGAGAGACAGATACATGGAGAGACAGAGACAGATACAGAGAGAGAAAGGGGAGAGAGAGAGAGAGATAGAGAGAGAGAGAGAGAGGGGGGGGAGACAGACACAGAGAGAGATAGACAGACAGACAGACTGACAGACAGACAGGCAGACAAACAGACAGACAGATAGACACACAAAAGTGGGGGAACAAGGAAAGAGTGGATGAGAGAGGGGGGGGGGGGGAACC